ACTAGAGGAGGGGATGCTGCCCCAAGGTGGGAAGCCAGCGACAAGCAACATTGTGCATAAGCCACCAGGAGTCTCATTGCCTGCTTTCACCTTCTGCATGCAAAAAGAGTGTGTCTGATACTTACTTCATGCCAACCAGGAACTATGCAGGCAAAGAAATTTTGTGAAACTCAGTTCCAGCTGAGCTAAACTGACATAATATAAATCTGCCACACTCTGAATAATTCTGTAAAATTCCGTCTCTGTACCTTTTACTGTTCTTAACATCGTGTTCTCACCTACATCCTTGGGATGACATCCTCTCCCCAGATATCCTACTCTCCTTGCCAAAATTGGGCCCTATTTGCTGTTCAATAGATAAATGAATTCAACTCACTGTCTCTTTCCAGGGCAATGTTTAACTTTTATTTGTTTCATAATGGGTTCCCAGAACCAGTGATCACACTCAACCCAACTACCTTGCAGAAACTTGTTTAAAATGAATTCCGGTTTAATGATTTTTGAATGTAACTCCAAACTGCAGGCCTAGCTTTTTTCTTCATTTCTCTTGCAGCTAAGTCTTTTGTTTACAAATATAGTCAGATCTGTACTATACTGAAAACCTGAAATGGATTAGTGAGGTATCCTGGGTATTGCAAAAGATGAATGTATTGTTTGAAATGAAAGTAATTTATTTGCAGATGACATGATACTGCATGTAGAAAACCCAAAAAACTCCACCAAAAATTGCTAGATCTAACTACATGAATTCAGCAAAGTCATAAGATATAAAATCAACATACAGAAATCTGTTGCATTTCTGTACACCAGTGGTGAAGCAGCAGAAAAGGGATTGATCCCATTTGCAATTGCACCAAAAACAGTAAGATCCTGGGAATAAACCTAACCAAAGAGGTAAAGGATCTGTACTCTGAAAACTATAGAACAATTATGAAAGAAATTGAAGAGGATACAAAGAAATGAAGAAGCATTCCATACTCATGGATTAGAAGAACAAACATTGTTAAATTGTCTATACTACCCAAAGCAATCTACACATTTAATATAATCCCTATCAAAATGCCACCAGCATTTTTCACAGAACTAGGACAAACAATCCTGAAATTTGTATGGAACTCCAGAAGACCCCAAATAAAATAAACATTAAAATAAAAGGAGGTGCCTATATGGCTGAGTTGGTCAAATGCACATCTCTTGATTTCGACTCAGGTCATGATCTCATGCTTCTTGAGACTGAGCCCAACTGTCCATCAACTGATGAATGGATAAAGAAGATGTGAAATAATATTTTTCATAAAATTAAAAAATGAAGATGTGGTATATAAATACATATAATGAAATATTACTCAGCCATCTAAAATAATAAAATCTTACCATTTGCTGTGACATGGATGGAGCTAGAGTGTATTTTGCTAAGTGAAATAAGTTAGCCCCAGAAAGACAAATACCATATGATTTCATTTATATGTGGAATTTAAGAAACACAACAGATGAACATATGGGAAGGAGAAAAAAAGAGAGAGGGAAATAAACCATAAGAGATTTAAAGATACAGAACAAACTGAGGGTTGATAGAGAGACGTGGGTGGGTGATGAGCTAAATGGGTGATGGGTCTTAGGAGGGACTTTTGATGAGCACTGGGTGTTGTATGTAAGTGATGAATCACTGAATTCTACTCCTTAAACCAGTATTGCACTATATGTTAAGTAACCAGAATTTAAATTAAAAAATTGAAAAGAAAAAAATAAAATAAAAGGAATTTGTTGTGATTCATATTTGAAGATGAGAATAGAAAGTCATTCCATTAGCAACAATTTACTCATTTGTATATTTTATACAGATTTAATAAGTCTTTGCTTTAAACTTGGTTTTTATATAGAGATTATAAAGTACTTTGTCAAGTTTGCAAATACAGTTCGAAAGCTTAAACTTGACTGATACACCACATTGCTGTCCCCCCCTCTTCCTACTGTCACTGGCAGAAACAGGAGCCTAACACACAGTAGATGATGCCTTAAGGGAGTGTTAATGAGGTCAGGAGGTTGATGAGATGGGGAGCCAGGCAGAAGGTAGACTTTGAGTCTGAAAATCACCACAGTGTAACATCTCTAGGCCAGGTGAGTATTGTAACTTCCTAGAGAAGTTAAGAATCTCCTGCAAAACAGAGCTCTAAAACTTTGGGGCAGCTGTTGGAGGGAAAATAAGACAACCCTCTGGAGTCTTGCTAGAAACTCCTCTACGAAAAGGAGAAAACACAGAGAGAGCACTAAGCTCTAGAACAAGGAAAAGAAATAGTTCAGATGCAGCATCTGAGAAACATTGGCCTTTAGAGAAGAAGGTGTGTAAATGTCAGGCCAGAACCTACAGAGTGGCTAGCTGGGTTCCTGAAGGACCTCAGACGCATCTACATACAGTCTTTCACAACACTCACAAACCTCTTCACCATCACCAAGGCAAAGCCTGAGAAGGCGACTTGTAACCAGCTTATACAGGTAATCATCATGCTAATGTTTACACCTCTAATTTACCCTTGATAGTGAATCAAGGTCATTGATTGGTGACCCTTGACAGTCATTTTGTCCAGACCTCAACTGCCCAAAAACTCTCTGGTTGGTATTAAGAGGAACATGAGGGAGAGAGAGATGATATGGCATGAGGTGTTGCCAATTTCATTGAAATGCTATTAATAGAATTTAATTTATTTCTAAAATTATATTGTGGATACTGCCATGTATAAAATCAATTCAAGAATTTCTTCCAGGGCACCTGGGTGGCTCAGTCCATTAACCATCCAACTTTGGCTCAGTTCCTGATCTCACTGTTTGTGAGTTCGAGCCCCACATCCAGCTCAGAGCCTGGAGTCTGCTTCAGATTCTGTGTCTCCTCTCTCTCTGCCCCTCCCCTGCTCATGCTCTGTCTCTCTTTCTCTCAAAAATAAATAAACATAAAAAATTAAAAAAAAATTCCTTCCAAAGTTGCCCCTTCCACAAATATATACTGAGATCTGCTTTGTGCAAACAGCAAGGAGATACAAGGTAGAAAAATTCCTTGATCTCATGGAGCATGCATTCTAGTCACCCTGTCACCTGTCAGTCCTTTCTCTCATTCCTCAAGACAGTGAATCGAAGCCCATTTAACCTCTGCCTAAAATTTCTAAGTTACCTCATCTTTGTCTCACATCCTTCACTCATAATAGATACTTCACACACCACTTCACAAAGGGAACAGAGGATGGCAGCCCAGATCTCTCCCCATTTCCATCTAGAATAGAACCCAGACTCAGTCCCTTTCTGACTCAGGAGATCAAGTATCATTTTGGAACTTCCCCAGGGCTTTGGAGGCCAAGGAGTTATGAACATGCTATGGGCATTTGTCCACAAATTGGGGGTACCCAGTATTGCCTGCATTTATCTTCATTTGCTGGCATATTCTAAAGCTTTAGCATGCTCTGGAAGCATCCATCACATTTTACTAATTCATTTTGAGAACTTTAAAGAAGACTGCACCTAGTCTTAGAACAAATCTTGCACTAGTTTTTTGTTAGTAGGTCATATATCAAAAGGGTGATAGTATTGTAAGTACTGGTGTCATAAAGAAAGAGTGCACAAAAGTGTTTTTCCCCCATGTCACAGAGATGTCGATATTTAAGAGCTCCATGAAAAATAAACACTTTGTGAATACTACCTACCTGATAAAGAGTGATAAAGTCAAAAGATGATGAGCTTTGGAACAGATAGTCTCTGGTTTGAATTCCAGCTGAGCTACTTAGTAGCCATGTGACTGGTAAAAGCTATCTGGTCTCTGTAAAGCCAACTTTTATCACTTATAAAATGAAGATAAAAATACAACCCTATCAGGATTATAGTAAAGAGTAGATGAGACAACATAACATATCCAGCCCCACACTTGGGTGAAATGGCAGCTGATTCATATTGAAGACCAATTTTCTTTAGAATTCCCTTGCTTTTCTCACTTCTCCCCTGCCTCACCTCATCTCATGTGTTTTGTTCATAGCTCTGTCATTGAGATACATTTGATGGCTGGAGGTGTGCAGAGTAGCTGACCAAATACCAATGTTCCCAAACAATGAATCTGCTTAGGGATGGTATTTGAGTCATTTTTTTGTCATTGTGTTAAGAATTGGCTCTTGTCTAGTGGACACAAGTTTGAGTAATAGAAACCTAATGAGCCTTTTCTCATCAGAAAGCTATGTCTACCTCAAAACAAAATTTATTTGTGAAGAGTCAATTATTTTTATGCTTTCTTGGCCAGACTTTGAGGCGATCCGTTAGTAACAGGAATTATAATTACAACGTTGAGTGTATCGTTCTATTTTCTGCTCTTGGAAATTCTGCCACTTTAGTGAAACACTTTAGTAAGACACAGGCCCAGGCAAAAACACTGATGGAGAAACTTGTGCCTTCAGATTAATTTAGATATATGTACATGTTTTTGATTAATGTTGGAGTTCTTGTCCTTCTGGATGACCTTGTTAACTCATTTGGTAAAGTCTGATCTGTCTTCCACTAGTGAAGAGAAATAGGACCATTTCCAAGAGATACAGTAGAGACGAAAGCCCCATATTTGTTTTAATCTCAGGTGATATATTGTGATGGCACTGAGAAAATGCAACTGAGAAAATCTTTATTTCTTATAGTCGGCTTTACCAGCCTAATGCTGATTTAATATGGGAGTAAGATGAAAGTGAGGGATGGAAAAATATCCTCATGGGAAGCTGAAAAAGAAAACAAAAGAAAATTCAGTTTGATGTATGGCCATTAGCTACTGTTAATGAATCTATTCAATTTATGAGGTACCACTGTTTAATTATGTATATTACTATAGGATAGAATTGGGGGAGGGGTATCTTTACCCCCTTCCCCCACTTCAGAGCTTACTACTTCTCCTGACAATCCATATTCATTAGGTCTTAGTAAAAGGTTGGTATTAAATGATAATGGCAACGATAATCCTTAAACCCATGTCTCTCTTTTCCTAGGATTTATCTATTCAATCCAAGAAGAGAATAAGGAATGAGGTAAATATACTTACATATTAATTCAATTTTATAAAATTTTTTGAGTGTTTATTATCAGCACTGAATTAGGTACTGGATATGAAGAGATGAATAAGTCATCTTTTCTGTTCTTACAGATTTCAGAGTTTAATGAGAGAAAAAGACCCTTTGTCACAGAAATCAGTGTGCACTTAGAGCTGTCTCAGGTCAGATTTCCTAAAAGCACAGTCTGACCTGGGGGTTTTTGTGTGAGTGATTAGCTGATGAGGTGTTTCCAGGAGAAGCCTGGAAGGAAATGAAGGAAGCAGATCTGGGCAGGGGAGAAAGCTAGGCAGGTATGTGGGATCATCAGACTCAAGCCTTGATCTCCAGGGGAGCTGCTGGGCATGAAAAACACCAAAGACTCCTCCCACCTTGATTCAAGAGGTTGGGCCATGTACCCTTCAATCATCCAGTCATTCTATGAGAGGGCTCACCTCTTGGGCATTTCTGGGCTCCTGTTGGCCAAAGAGAATCCTCGGGGGAAACTTCGCTGTGGGCCATCAGCAGCTGAGACTCCCAGCAGCTGAGAGATAAGTGCATTAACGGGGGCCTGGTTCAGGGTATCTGCCCCTGGATGCAAAAATGCAGTAGACCGTGGCTTTACGCCCAGATAAGTCAGAGTCCCACTGTGTAGACTGGCATTAAATAAAATAGTACAGTGCAGTGTGACAAGTATAATCATAATAATTGGTACAAGATGGCTGCACAAGACCGCAAATATCTGATTGTACATTCACTGACATTTTGCTTCATTACACAAAATATTAGTGGCATTTTTTAAAGCAGCTCTATCTTTCTGGTGGTAAAGAGTTTGGGCATGGAAGTCTCTTCAGAGAAGATGATAACTGAGGCAGATTTATAAGCAATAGGCTTTGTGAATGGGATACTGGTGATTGGGGAATTACTAAAACTGCAATGTCTAATCCATGACCTGAATTAAATTTCAGTGGGAACTCTTTTTCAAACTATTTCCAGTCTATCCCATAATGGTATAATTAAGCATGTATATATAGATAATTATATGATATATATTTTAATATATCATAACTACATAGGGGTGCTTGGGTGGATCAGTTGGTTAAGCGTCCAACTTCGGTTCAGGTCATGCTCTCACGGTTGGTGGGTTTGAGCCCCAGGTCGGGCTCTGTGCTGACAGCCCAGAGCCTGGAACCTGTTTCAGATTCTGTGTCTCCCTCTCTCTCTGACCCTCCCCTGCTCACACTGTCTCTCTCTCTCTCAGAAATAAATAACTACATAATATATTAGGTAAGTAATATAGATTACATTATGTTATATATTTCATAAATTATAAATATATTATTATAAGATATAAGTGTTATCTGTTAAATAAATATTTAACTAATGGTAAATATAATCTAAAAATAATATAAATATAAACATGTTACATTATATTGATATGTAATATATACATATTATATTATATTATATTTATTATATTAAGTTAGACTTTAAGAAAGGAATAAGATTAGATTTTAAGAAAGCAGGTCACTTATAATACAATGATAAGAGCCTTTCTACTATAGTAAGCACATGGTGATAGTATTCTCTTTTGGAACTAGGAAGGAAGCCACCAATATGAATCAAGATTTGTTGAAAAATACAGATACACTTTTAATAATGGAGCTGCCCTGTCAAGTAAAATGATTTAGATATGTTTTCATAAGACACTTTTCCAAAGGTATTCTGCAATATCCAGTGATATTTTCATTTAGCAAAACCATTGTTTTATTTGATAGAAGTAATGTTGGCTGTAGGCTTGTAGAACCTCCAGGGAAAACAGGCTCAAGCCAGAACTGGGAACATCTCTAATTGGTTCCAGGTATTCTTTCTCGTGCTAAACTCCTCCAAATTTGGTGGTACTAAGTAAAAATAATGTTTCAGTGTATGCACTACCCACACAAATATCGATGTTTTAAGAACACAATAGAATTAAGTGAGATTTTTTTGTATGTGTGGCTCAGTATCATTTTCTATGATCTCTTTATTCATTTTAAATCCTGGACTATAATGCTTGGCTTCAGGGTTGACAAACTGGCAGACCATTTATTTGTGTTCATTATTTATTACTTGAGATTTTCATATTTCATATCCTGTTTTAATGGTCATCCCAATATTTTCTCAGAATTTTCTTCTACTTTGTAACCAGAAAATGAATGTTTCATTTAAAAACAAAGAGGGAAAAGAAACTTTCTGTGACCTCCATAATTACCTTCTACATTTGCTTATTTTTCTTTTCACATGAACATATTTAAAAATTGCTTGTATATCTGATATTCTATTCAAGAAACAAAGTTACATTGTCTAGGCATTGTGTTCATTCCTCCATGTTTGATGGCTTGAGTGGTAGAGGACCATAGAGAGAAGAAATTTCTTACGAGGAGAAATGTGAGGGGACAGAATAAGAGAAACACAAATACAGGTACACTGCCACACATACACACTACCATTACCACCACTCATGGGTAAATCACTCTCAGACTGACAAATGGGCTGATTTAGGTACTATAGATCTTGGCATCTATATGACTTTTACAGAAGCTTCTGTAGCAAAGCTACACTAGGAAGTGTAAGTTGGCAATTTATGTCTCTCTGAATTTTGTTACTGTTACTTAATTCTTTACTCCAACAAGGGAATACATGTGCTCATATTAAAATATAATAAGAACCAGGGCCCCTGGGTAGCTCAATCAGTTGAGCATCCAACTTCAGCTCAGGTCATGATCTCATGGTTCACAGGTTTGAGCCCTGCATCCAGCTCTCTGTTGTTGGCTCAGAGCCTGGAGCCTGTTTCTGAGTCTGTCTCCCTCTCTCTCTGCCCCTCCCCCGCTTGCACTCTGTCTCTCTCTCTCTCTCAAAAATAAATAAAAACATTTAAAAAAATTTTAAATATAATAAGAACTGACACATAGAGAAGGAAATTGATCCTTTTATTTGCTTACTTTCTTTAGGGGCAAGGATTAGCTTGAATTTGGGGAGCTATGCCTTTCAAGGCTGTGACTCTATAGCCAAAGTAGAACTTTGAAGTAAGCTCCTCGGTAATTTATGGGAGAGGCTAGAAATAGTCCTTAAAAGGAAATTCTCTCTTAGCTAAATTGGCCACTAAAGAAAAGCCTTATTAATCTACTTGGATATGTCCATTGCACTGACACGGCTTAGACCTTTATGGCAATAATTCCTTTGTTTTTTTTTTTTTTTTTTTAAATGTTTTATTTATTTCTAGGAGAGAGAGAGAGACAGCGTGAGCAGGGGAGGGTCAGAGAGAGAGGGAGTCACAGACTCTGAAACAGCCTCCAGGCTCTGAGCTGGCAGTCAGCACAGAGCCCGACGCGGGGCTCGAACCCACGAACCGCGAGATCATGACCTAAGCGAAAGTCGGACCCTTAACCGACTAAGCCACCCAGGCGCCCCTGGCAATAATTCCTTTGTGGGGCCCATGAAACTAAATCCGAATAGGCCTTGAGTTGGACTGTCTCTCTTTTTCATCTTAATATTTTAGTTTTAAATATGAGAAAACAGGTATTTGAGGGTTTCATTTCTCTTGGTTAGTAATGTCATCCTACGTTGGTTACTCCTGGTTAGTTCAGTCCTATAGGGATGCAGAGCAGCTTTTAAAGCTCTTTCTGCTCTGGTTTTCCTTTAGTGAGTGTGTCCATCTCACTCTGTCCATGTGGTTTGGTTAAGACAGTACTCCCCTTCCCACCCTCTCATCCACTCTAGACCCTTGAGGAAGTCCCAACACCTAGGTCAACAACCAAAGCACTCAGCCTCATTGTAAGGATGGGCATAAGATTTAAAGGTGGTCCAATCCATAGATATTCCTGTCCTTGCAACTAGACTACACAATTAATACTTTTTTTTAGGAAGATAAAGGGGATTTCTCTTTTCTCTTGGTTTCAATTCATAAGTACTTATAAACCAGACAGCTAAATAAAAAAGAAACTTTCTTATTCTCATTCTGTTTATTAAAACAATAACACATCAGGAGCCATCCTCACTGCATTTGGTTTATAATCTCATATAATTTCTACAGTAATCCTCTGAGTTAGGTACTTGTATTATCTCCATCTACGCATGAAAAGCAGAAACTTAGATACTGCTTTTTGAAGGTCACATGCTAATAAATAAATGATAGTTGGGCTTGAATCTATTTAGTCTGACCTTATATGCTCTTAACCTCTATCCCATTACCTGTAAGGATTCTACTGAGCAAAAGGAAAGCCTACATTTAACATTTTTGCAAACATCAAAATAAAATTATATACTTGGAATAGAGGAATGAGGAGAAGTTGGAGAGGTATGCCCTAGAGAACCACAGGGTTAGGGACTGTAGTCTCTCAGTGACTGGAGATTGAGATTGGAGCATCTTGAATGGTGGTGGGATGGAGGTGGGTATGACTCAAGTAAGCTGAATCCTGGCTAAGTACTTGCCAGGCTAACTCTACAACTTGAAGCAGCCTGGAGGTATGATATCACCTTCAATGTGAGTGCCATATTGTAGACTATTCCAAAGTTTACTAGAGCTAGGTAATGAGTTTGGCTTGGTATCCTGTTGCTTCATGTTTGTTTATTAATTAATTCATTTGTTTATTCAGTCATTCATTCCTTTGATTTTTATTGAGCACCTGATGAGTGCCAGTATTAGATGCCTAGGATATATATATCAAGGTATTTGACCCCAACGAACTCTTAATCAAGAGCAGGAGAGGGGTGAGTTAAAAACAAATTATAATGAAGGAATAAATGTTCAACAATTTTAGTAGGAAGAAAAAGGAAGGCAAAATAATTATAATAGAGTAGATTTGGGGACTGTACCTGTACTGTAATGTCCAATTGAGCCAAGAAAGATGCCTCTAATATTTACTCTTATTGATTTTATTTATTTAATTATAGATGAATTTAATTCTGAAAGTGGTCCCAGGTGCCTTTCCCTGATGGAGAACACACCAGTTTTATAAATA